AACAAAAAAATTATACCGATGAACATAATAATTTTATTGTTTAATTTTTAGTAATATTATTAATTAATAATATCAAATAAAATACCCTTCAAAAGATATAATCATAATCTTTTAATAGTTATATTTTTAGTTTTTTTAAATCAATCACTCAAAAAATATATCCTATAAACAAAAAAGTTTTAATTATTGGAACAATTTTTTGAGTCAGTGTATATTAATTTAGCAATTTATCAATTTTGAAGTAATCAATAATATTAAATTGTTACTTATAATTTATTAAATTAAAAATCAATATCAAAAAAAAAATAAATAAATCATTTCTAAATTTGATTTAATTGAAACTTTGCTTTAGCTAGCTCAATAGACTTTTTCATATTTTTTAAATAGTTTAATCTATCAACTGATAAGATATAAAGATGAGTTGATTATGTGAATGTCAGTTAGGATTTTTTTCTAAAAAAAAAAAAATAATAATAAATGATAATAATAAAATATAATAAAAATTCTATTTTATTATATTAATAACATTGATAACAAAACTATTTTAGCACTTGTTAATCTATATTATTATTTTTCGTAGAGTAATATTTATTTCAAAGTTACTATGCGTTTAATTCCAATCTACAATAATTCAAATACTTGTAACATATTTCGAAATGATGATATGATCATTTTTCCTCTTCAATCACTCATTATGTAGAGATAATAGCGTGTTTGTTAATAGACCTTAACTAGGAAAACTAGACACCACAGATGTATAATCGGAAGAATATTTTAATTAAAGGTAGAAGTACCTTAATTTGGCTCGGCCAATCTAATGACATTGGATACTTGGGTTGTTAGTTCAATATCAATATTTGCCGAGTTTCAATCATATAAACGTCTGAGATCCTCTTTTTGACATGTAAAATTGTTTTACTATCAGGACCGATTTCCGAAAAAAAAATAAAGCAATGATATAAAACGTCATATAATTATAAAGCTCCGAATTTAAGCAATTTGTGTCAGCACCGGAGCTGATGTTAGTATGATACTTGACTTTGAGTTGCTGCTAGCTCGATAGTATTTTCAATGGGAGTTGCTGCAATTTAGAAATATTACTATCAATATTACTTTAAATTTAACGATGTATAAATATTACCATGTGTTGGCTCTTGAGCTGGTGGTGATATAGTGTCAGCATTCAGGGCAGTTGTAGCGGAAGCGTCTTGTGTTTGGACTTCAGTATCATTATTCTCTGAAGTTTTTTCAACCTCGGGATCTGTCTTTTGGCGACGTGTTTTACTTGTCTTCTTCGCTGATTAATTTTAATTTTTAATAATAATTATAATTTCTGTTGCTAAAAAAGTGAGATTTATTACCCTTAGTTGTTCGGGTTGGAGCGGTGGTTGTGCTGGTTTCTTCCGCTCTTTTTGAAGCAAGTCGACTGGATCTTCTAGTAGCAACGGTAGCTGTTGCTTTGCTTTTTGCTGTTTTTGTGGGTCTTGGCATTTCAATTAACGGCTACACGGTGTTATCGAAAGCAATAAAGTTTATGTTTGAAAAAAAGTTATATAAATAAGTGTTATTTTTGTAATATGTATATTGTGATAATCCTGTTGATTTGCTGCATGCTTATCTGATCAAGCTCTTATCGGGAAACATCATAGTAATTGACATGTGCAACTATTTATAACTTTTGTTTTTATAAATTTTTCTCTTATTTTTTTTTCTTGATAATAACTTTCAAATAGTTAGTATAAATCTATAAAAAAATTTTTTTAAAAAAATATTATTATATAGTATATATATATTTTTACTTATAGTTTTTTTTTTTTTTTTTTTTTTTAACCTACAATCATGTCACGATGGCTTGTCTTTATTGAAAAATTAAAATAAATCCACAATAATTTATAGATTTTCATAATGTGACTAACTCATCTTTATACATAAGTACTTTAAGACAGATTTTGGGAACAATATTACATTCCTCTGATAGATTGATAATAACCTCTATCTATCAAGATCATTATCAATAGTTTGTTACTATTGATTATTTAAAAATCAATAAATTATTAAGTTAAAAAAGAAAATAATTGGAGAAAGAAAACAATTTAAGATTTATCAAAAAAAATCCCAAAATAAAAACAACCTCTTCTTAAAATTTTTATTTACTTAATTTTAGATTTTTAATAATATAATATTATTCTTATAAAATTGATAAATATAATGTATATTATCAAAACTCTTTTCACTGATTTCTAATTTCCTTAAAAACTTCTTTTTTTGGTAATAGTTTTGAAAACCAAGAAGCCAACTTTCAATATCTAGAAACATATAGTCTAAAAATAACAACAACTTGTCACTAAGCTTCAAAAAAACTATACTTCTTTATAATAGTAATTGCAAGATAAGTATTAAAGAAAGAAAACCCTAAGAAAATTCTAAGAAAACTGATTTACAATAAGCTTCTAGAAATTCAACTTCAACTTCACAAATCTCTCAGCCAGACTAGTACAAATTAATATCTTTCTTGATACTAAGAAAAGTACTATAGACAATAACTTCAATTGATAAATCAGTTAAAGCTCAGAGTCCATAATATCTAAGAGAATATCCAAGTTTTAATTACTTAACAGTAGAGAATGACATAAATAATACAACAACACTCCATATCTTAAATTATATAATATAAATATATCACATTTGCCAGTTTGAATAGTAATCCATTTACATGTTTAGTAAATAACTTGTTTATATATTTTTGCTTCATATTTATACATAATAGTAGTCATCAATAATATAATAAATCTAAAAATAGTTTTTTTTTTTTTAAATCCACCGTCAAGCTGACACAGCTTATCTTTATTGTGTATTTAAAATATTATACAATTTCAAAGATTTTCACATGACAGCTCATCTGTCTTAGAATTTTAACTTCTCTAGATGCAACTTAGGAGATGATATTTTGCTTTCTTAATAACTTGGATTATCCTTTAGCTATCAAGT